ACCCATCTCCCTGGCCTGGGGAGGGCCTTTTCCCAAGGTGGGATTGGGCCCTGGAATGCTGAGTGCCAGGCCAGCAGGTCTCTGGGTGAGACTTTTCTACCTGCTCTTCTCTGTCCTGTTGGACAAGGGTTCATGGTCCCTGCCATTATTATCTTGGTTAAGGGGCCGGGCTCCTTTTTGCCACAGATATAGGCCATGGGAAATGGGAAACTGAGGGAGCCCTGGTGGCATAGGGGTTAGCAGAGTTGGTCTGCTAGCTGCAAGGTCAGCAGTTCAAAACCACTATCCTTTCAGGAGAAAGACTTGGCTTTCTACTTAGAAAAAGACTCAGAAACCCAAGACTGGGCAGTTCTACCCTATCTGAGAGGGTCACTGAGTCATCGACTCAATGGCAATTGAGTTTTTCAAAGGGGTCAGCAACCGCTCCAAAGAGGCCTACTACAGGACTGTACCTAAGGGTATTATTGAGAAAAGGCTAAAGATTGCTAATATTGACAGCCCTCCTGGGTCCTGCCAAGCATGGGTAACCCATAGCAACTAGAGGCCCTGTAGTCTACTTGTGACCAGGGAAATTCTTGCTAGCCCCTGGTGTGTGTGTGTGTGTGTGTGTGTGTAAATACATGCCCCTGGTATGTGTGTGTAAATGCGTTTATTTTTCAATATATGTACATAAAGTAAAAATACACCATTTTGAACTGCTCTGGTATTTAAACACGGGCTGTGGGTAGCGATCTGGGCAACTAAGCACCGCCCAAGTCCCTGGTGCTAGCTACAAGTCCTGTGTACCCTCGATTTCTCGAAGTCGGTGCGATGAGCCCTTTTTATAATACGGACACTGACGCTGAGTCCCAGTGGCTTGCTCAAGGTCGGTCGAATCGTGAGCGGAGGTGGAGGTGGGGTTGGCCCTGAGGACTTGGAACGCAGGAAGCCCTGCGCTCCTAACCTCCCCTGCGGCGGGTGGCCGCTTTTCCCTTTAACAAGCGCAAAAGAATGAATGAACATCTCCGGGACGGCGCCCCGCCCTGGCAAACGGCGGAGCTTGGGCGAGCCCATTGCTCCGCGCGGGGGTGTGCGCTGGCCTCGCGCATGCGCGGCCCCTGCGGACGGCCCGCTCCACGGGCCGGACGCACGTGTGACCGCCTCGCTCCGTTTGGTACATCCCGCCTCCCTCCCCCCGCGCCAAGGCTTGGGTGGTACGTGCCGCCTCAGTTCGCCGTCCCTCCCCGTCGGTTTCCGCGCGAAAAGCCGGGGCCGCCCGCGCTGCTGCTGTCGCCGTCTCGACTGCTTTCTCCAAGATGCCCGCCCGCACCGCCCCAGCCCGGGTGCCCGCGCTGGCCTCCCCGGCCATCTCACTGCCGGACGATGTCCGAAGGCGGTAGGTGCCGAGGGAGACTCCCACTCGGGGTGGGGTGGCAGATCAGGGCGTTTGGGGGGGGGTGCGCGCTTCCCTTCGGGGCCACCCGGGTCCGCCGCTGACAGGCGGGCGCGCATGCGCAGGGTGGCTCGGTGGCAG